TGGAGGTGTGCGCCGTGTCCCCGCTGGCATGGAGCAGAGCCGCGCCTCACGCCCCGAGCGGGCTCCGCGTTTGGTCCTATGTCACGCAGGCATCAACTTTCTTAAGGGGGTGGTGGGGCTGCCCCCAGCTCACCGCCTGAGCATTCTGGTGGAACAGCTAATAGCCAGTTGCAGACGAATGACAAATTTGTTCGTTAGCGGTTAATTATTTTGCATTTATTGCCTCTGCTGCCTTTTCGGCACCTTCCCGTAGCGCAGCAGGAGGGCCTGCGTGGACGTGGCAGTGATGCACTGGCCCAGCTAGCGGAGGATGCTGCGGAGCCACCGCACGGAGCCCCTGCTTTCCGCCGCCTCTCCAGCCTCTGCGGGGCGAAGTCAAAATGTCCCACAGCCAGTTGTCCTGGAAAGCAGGAGCTGGGCTGGAGCTCCTGTTAGCCAGTCATAATTATTTTAATTCCTCTTACAGGAAGTTTATTTCAAAAATACACCATTTGCTTTTTGTAGAAGAGGTCAATCACAGTGGGAGAGCTTGTGACAGGATAAATGATGTTACCTGCTCAATCTTTTTTAGCAGCTCAGGTGGAGACGGGTCCTTCCCTCCCAAGTCTCGCTTTCTTCTCTCATTCGCGGAGTCAGCAAAGATTTCCTCCATCCGTTTAATCCTGTCCTTGCACTGGGAATACTAGCAAACAAAAAACCACAAGTTATTTTTTCAGACAAGAAGCCAAAAGCCCCGCTATTACTAGATGTCTGGAGATAGAGGGTCCCAGTGGGTCTGATTTACACCAGGAGAATGGCTCTGAAGTGGCTGGGGTGGCTGCCAACCCCTGGGCTTGGAAGCAAACTCCAGCCTCGCTGGGAGACATTTGGGATGCTCAGGTGGAGGAGGACTAAGCAAAATGATACTGGTCAAACACTGGGAAACATTTCAGTATGAAACCAGAGGTGGACGCACGTCGTTCTCCTGTCCTATTGCTTATGAATGGGAATTTGGAAAAGCAGTAGGTTGTGCCACAGAAGGTCATCCCTATAATGCACAAATACAAACCAGCTTCATCTTATTAGTCGTTTAACAATCTTGAATGCTTGTTCCTTTGACTCCTCCACGTGCAACGCGACCACCAGACATTGTGTATACGTAATGCTGCCACATGGAAGAGGCTTTTTCTCGGAGCCACCTGGTATCACAAGAGCCCTGGACTGGAAGATGATTTTCATCGCACGTTTGGTAAGTAAGAAAAAGGCTGTCCCAGGGGCTGATGATAGCCTTTTTGGCTTCTGCCGGTGGCCTGGATGAAAAGCCACAGATGGTTTGTACCAAATCACGTCCTTTGGGCCGTAGCGGGGTGGGCTCAGGGCCACCCTCCACAGCCGCGGGGGCTGGGCAGTGAGCAGAGACCCGCGGAGGGAGGGAGCAGGGGCAAGGGTGGGAGCCCTCGCCGGCGCCCGCTTCCTTCCCCCTCCCCAGGTCTCTGCCACCCGGCCCGGCTGGCAGCTCCGGCGGCAGCACGGGGGCCGCGTTGGGCACCTGGGGTCCTCTGGGACTCGCAGCGGGAGCACGTCGCTGCCTAACCCACCCGCAGAGCTTGATCCTCAGACTTTAACTGACAAGGTTTCCTTGTACTGGGAAGGAGGGAGGGTAACACAGAAGATCATGAGCCATTAAAAATTTTTTTTTTCAAAGGGAACTGCAGTGTGGCAGTTGCTGGACAGAGGAAAACCCTGCTGCCTGCCAGAAATTGAGTTACACCTGCTGCTTTGTCCTCAGGCTACTTTTTTTATCCTCGGGAATACACCAAACTTTTGGGTGGGGTGTCTTCCTTTATTCCCTACAATCTTCTGTTTGACCCACAGAATCCATTTAGGGATGTAGGAAGGCTGCAACTGCCTGACAGTTTGGTTGCAAGTTAAATCTGAAAGTCCTGCTTCCCCACCGGTTAGTGCTAAAGGTCTCATCGCTACAGGCAGCCAAGTTTTCTACAATGAAGTTCCCAGGCACGTGTCCTGAAGCGACTCAGTGGTGACACGGAGCGACATGGTACTCCTGGGACCCAGAGAGGCAGGTGTTCCCTGACCTTTCCGATGCGAGACCTTCCCACGGAATAACACTTCCCAGAATACGCTGGATGGACATCCATGCTTTGCGTAAACACTCGCTGAGGGAGTGACTGGGACCGTTTCTTCATGTTTGGACTTGCAGGACTGACAGTGGTGGGGTTTTGTGCTTTGATGCGCACCTGGCCGTCCATCAGCGCATTGTCACCGCGACCATAATCTATTAGCACTGACATAACATAACCCAAGTTGCTGTAAATGCTAACCCTCAACTGCAGGTGATGATATTATTGAGGAAATAAGCAGTCACTGGTGCTCGAAGTTACGAACAGTCACCAAAAATATGAAGTAAATGTTTAGATGTTGCTACCGGGATGGGGTTTGTTCACTGAAAGTTAACAAGTCACGTTTAACTGGAAAAGGGAGAACTGACAGACCTCAGGTGGTAATGGAACGTTACCAGAACACTTGTCTCAAATACTTCTTTTTCTGGTAAAAAGGTGTCACACAGCTCGCTCTTTTACACTTGGTCTAAGAGCAGGCAAAGACCTTAAATGACTGTAATGAACAATTTCCTTGGCAAACCATGATTCAGTGTGTAACTAGGTACTGAAAGATTTATTTTAATTATAAACAAGTAAAACTTAAGCCCAAAAATACACAGAGTGAAAGAATGTAAAAGCAGGACGAACACAAACAACAGGATGCAGCTATGCTTCCAGGGATGTTTCCAATCTGGGGCCAAATTTCTCAACCGCTAACTCAGGTGAACATGCCTTGTTGGAGGCAGTGGTACCTTAACGGGGTTGCAGACAGCTCACCAAGTAAAATTTTGCAGGACTGAATAGTTAATTTAGAGAAGAAGGACTATTGCAGCCAAGCCACTGTCCAAACTAGAAAAGAAATCTATAAAAAGATTCATGTTAAACTTAAATACTAGGCTTGCTTTTAAATGCAATATGAATTGGGAGTGATTAGTTGCAGGTTACTCCAAAAGTACAGACAACAAAGCACATTTAGAGATATACATGCTATTCCGTGTCTGCTTAAGTGATATGACTACAGGCATCTTTATTTTCTCCTAATTGTAGTGTTTCCCTTGGAGAAGACTTTATCTAAATTCTAAGAGATTCTAAGTCTTAAAACTAAAAAAAACCCCACAAAACTTCTTTCTTGCAGTGGATTTGATACAGGGGATAGGAAGAGGCTCTACAAGAGAGGCTTTTCTATGCTTGTAAATAGTCAGGAGGAGTTGTTGAAGGATGAACAGACAAGAGGGAACGCATGCCTAGATAAAGGGACTGGTCTGAAGAAGTAGAGATCTGGTGTTTATTTTTGAAATCTCAGAGAAGGTAGGTGAGGTATGTAGAGCACTAGAAAAGGACAAATACACCTGTTTTTAAAAATGGGGGAAAAAGGAGCTATGGAACTATAAATAATTTATCTTCACTTTCTGAACAATAAATCTGGAACAAAACATTACGCTTTCTTTGTAGGTAGCTAGAAAAGAAAACAGGTAGGAATAAGAGCCAACACAGGTGTGTTGAGACAGGGACACAGGCATGTCCCAAACCAGACCGACTTCCAACTATCATAATTTAACAGATGTGTGGACAACAAATAGTAGGTGTCATACATCTTGATTTTTACACGGTTTCATATGACATTCTCATAAACAAGCTAAGGAAAGGGGTTCTTGATGAAAATATGAGGTAAGTACTACATCAGTAGAATGAGGTTAAGCTCAGAGAGACTGCAGATGCTTTTGGGAGAAGATTCAAATTCAAAATTACCTTGGTCTGAAAAAAGGCCCAAAGAAAAGAGGTACTATTGAATAACAAATGCAAGGTGCTACAAGTAGGCAGGAAAAACCAGCTGTACAAGTACAGAATCAAGGTCAACTGATTAGATACCCTTTCTTTAAAAAAGGGGTCTGGTTGTTACATATATTTACATGAAGATGAATCAACAAGCCATGTTGCAAGAAAGGCTACAATCGTACCTGGACACATAA